AAACTACGGAGCCGACTTGAAATTACTCAAAGCAGTTCTTGGTTTCCTGAAGCGTTACGGAAGTCCCTGCCGCTCGCTGATGGCAACATCCTGTGTCCTCTCATTGTGTTTCAGTGCCACGGAAACGGAGGAATCCAAACACCAGCGCTGACAGCAACATCCATTTTTATAAAGCTGCAGCGATGTGACTGATTCACACTTACATTTAGCATCAGTGAGCTCATTTGTGCTGCTCATCTGATTTGACGAGCTCCACCTCATGTACTCATGATTTCCTGTATGTCACTGAGTCAGACATATAATAAATCCAACAAAAGGCCAAAATGTGGTTCTATATTCACCTTTCTGTACTTCTCATAGTTAAAAACAGTTTTCTGTTGATCTTGATTTATTTCCTGTTTTTTTTCTTTTTCTGATTTTGTTGGATTTGAAGCATCATTTTTATAGTTAAGGTTAATATCCCTGAGCTCTCATTCTAAATCTACATATTGAATGTGGGTTTTTTTTGGCCTCCTTTAGACTTTTCTTTCAAGAATGAATCATAGTTCTGTCTTTTTCCCCACTTTTTTCAGACAGAAGTCAGGATCAGATGGTACTTTACATTGGCTGCTTTAATACTTATTATTTTGGCTGCTGTTCTATTAAGCTGTGTTGCTTTTATAGTTTATAGCAATGCTTTGTAAAAAAAAAAAAAAAAAGTTACACATCAGTGCTTTTACTGCAAAGAACAATGAAGAGGCAGCAGTTAATTTGTTACAACAAAAAGTTAAAAACCCTAAAAAGCTTATTTTTATTTTTCCAATAGATCAGAGTGTTGTAAGTGGATTAATTCAAAGCTTAACGTTGAATCTTTGCAGCTGTTGCCACGATCAGCTCATTTCTCGAGTGTGACGGGCCTGTGAAGCTCATGCACGCTGTAGATTTTCAATAAATGAGTCAAATATGTTATAAACAAATGCAGAAAACTCTCTGTCTTGTTTTTGGTGCATTTGATCTTGATTATTTGCGTACCTTTGATTTGAGCCGCAGGTTCCTCGTTCCTGGACTCCACCCATGACGAGCAGACTCTGTCTGGGCCTCCACGTCAGAGCTGGCTCTGTCCAGCACCAGGAGCTCTTTAGCCTCCCACTCCTTTCCCAGCTGCCTCATAACTCAGTCTAGTCTGTGTGTGCCCTGTCAAAGTAGATAGAAACGCACACACACGTGCATTTCCAAAGGCATCACACCTTGTCGTGTGCACTTTGTGCTGAATAAGGGCAAAGCACAAAACATTTGTTTTTGACACAACTTTTCCCATTTTGTGTTGATTTACAGGTCACAGTAATTCATCCATCCATTATCTTTATCCGCTTCTTCCTTTTTGGGTCGCGGGGGTCGCTGGTGCCCATGTCCAGCAATCACTGTGCGAGAGGCGGGGAACACCCGGGACAGGTCGCAAGTCCATCACAGGGCCAGTCACAGTAATCATGAAGTAACATCTTTTCAGCAGTGAGGATCTCTGAGGTCGTGCAGGAAACTTCTTGCCACTCTTCTCCGTTTGTATCTTTTGGGGCTTCCAGCTCCAGGTGTCAGTTGTAAAACCCACCTCAGTGCTGATCATAAGTCAGTTTGGATTAGCTGTCTGTCCTGCAGAAACAAACATCTGAAATGGTGGTCGACTCAAATATGGGGGTCTGTGCATGACTTAAAGTGCTCCACTGAATCCTCAATGACTTCCCTTGCGTCCTTAAACTCCACAAGACGCTTTAAACTGCGCAATCTTTGAGACTGCCTTTTGTCAGTGGCTCAAAAAAATTCAGTTTTAAAATTCATTTACCCTCACCTGTATGGCTTGAGCTATAATTCAGTTTTACAGGATCATATTTTGATTAAAAAATTAATGTTTAGTAGAGCGCTCATGACTTTTATCAGGAAGAATGACTGTTATGAGAAGGTGCTCATACATTTCTTAACGCAGTCACTGAGCAGAATAAGCTGCAACTCTTTGGAATGTTCCATCATTTTCTTATTTTAATGCATTCTAAATTAAGTTTTGGGCACAAATAATAATAAACTAATGAATCAGATATTGATTTGAGCAAAACATCAAAGGTTTTGTATCGACCTGAAGCACTCAACTTAAAAAAGGCTGGATAACTACCCCCGAGCATTTCTGGTCTGAACTGCAGCTTCCTTTTGTTTTTCTGATCAGTCATGCATACTCAAGCAGAACCGTGGGGCAAACAGGCAAGGAGCAAGGTCTCCTTTGGTAGTAATTTGATTCTGATTTTCTAGGAAACGTGCAGACCAGATGCACACAGAGATACTCGTCCATTAAGTAAAGACAAAGGAATATATAGTTCCTTCCTGTTCTACATCAGACTTCATGAGTTCAGATGTGAAACTGCTTGTTAGAAGTAAAAAAAACCCCAGTATTTTAGTGATGATGGGTAAAAAAAATATGCACAAAGAAGTCATTATTATCTGTTAGAGCCTCAGGTGATGTAAACAAGCACAATGGAGGCAGAGAGGGGGGTTTCCTCTCGGACAAGGTTTGGAGAATTCAAGCCAAGTAACCCAATTGAGCTAATTTCATTTCACTTTCTCCCACACCGATTCTATCTTTTACTTCCTGTGTTTATAAGAAGCCAAAAGAGGTCGGTTTCTGTGGGAGAGAAGCAGCACATCAAAGTTTGGGACCCTTTGGGCCACTTTAGGAGAAAAATATGAGAGAAATGCCAAAAATGTTAGCGCTTGTTGTGTCGCCAGGCTGCCCACGTCCTCCCCTCCTGAACGGGCTTTCTCGTTTGACCTGAGACTGGTTCTACAAAGGATCCAGTGTTGAGCTTTGTACCGAGCTGATGCTGTGCCTTACCCATTCTTTGACATCTGAACTGTATTATTTTTGTCTCTTATGGGTAGCTGCTTACAATAGCAGGTGGGTAGTGTCATTTTATACCCTCTTGGTGTGGAGCACAGCGCAGGAGACAAGATGAACTGGTTTTATAGCGGTGATTCCCAAATGATCAGGCAGCGTTTGTGAGTCAAGACAAACTTAGTTTCCAAACAAAATAATAATAATGAAAGTCATGAAAGAGTGAAGGTCTGCTTTTATTTTTGAATTAGCAACATGAAATTAGAGGTCGTATTATTAGAGCATGCATATGAACGCCTGTTTTAGACTGAGACTGTTACAAAATGAGAAATGGCAGAATTATAAATTGTAGTTCAACCTTGAACAAAAGTCCATGATGTGATAATGTAATATGTTGCAAGATCTGTTAGAACTTGGAGCAGGAGCTGTAAATGACTCTCGGCGACTACTACACCACATTTCAGCTCAGTGTATGTAAAACTGACTGAGTTATAGCTGTTTTTGTATTATCTATCAGCAATAAGTTGTAGTAGCCATCTGGAATGGATTGACTCCAAATATGAATCTTTGTTAGATTAAAATGTGTCAATTGGTTCATGAGATATTTTGCTAACAGACATGTACACACATGAACACAGCCAAAACATCATTGCTCACAATTTCTCTTTTAGTAGCAACCAATAAAAATGGTTTTGCAGTTTAATAATTTAGATTTTTTTTTTTTTAATTTGCCAATTTTATCCTTTAGTTTAAGATGAAACTTTGTTTTCTACATCAAATGAAGCAACAACTTCAAACATCAACACTGCTCAGACTTCACAAATCAAAGGAGTGATACAGATGGGAAATGCTGCTCTTCACATCTGAGTAAAACCTTCCCAAAGTCAGAGAAGTTGGTAAAAATGTCTCCCCGGAGAGGAAAGAGCGGCTCACAGGTCAGACGAGGGAGAAAATTTACCGCCATAAACTACTACTATAAACAGGACACATTCCTCCTGTAATTCTGAACATCTGGTATGCATGCTGCTTCCCCCCCACACATTTTTTTTTTCTGTGTGAGGTTTAAGTCTTGTCAAAATATTCCATATTAAACATCTTGGCACTGCTTTCCCCCTCCTTCAGTGTTCTCATACATGTCAGCATTTTCACAAAGTACTTTGTTTCATGGCTTTTACATGCATCATACACCCAAACTACATGATTTAATGGAAACGTGTCCGCTCAACTTTAGTCTTCACATGAGAATGATCCAAGAAACTGACTTTGATGCTCCTATGTAATTTTTTACCTCCTTGAGTGACTGAGCGGTTGCCATGGGAACGTGTTTGCGGTTTCTCCGTCCATGAAAAGTTGACTAAACAGCAGCGTGGACGTCTCATGTGGCCTGGAGCGGGTCGTGAGGGCAGAATGAGTTGCGTTCTGGACAGCAGGCTGAGTTAAAGCCGCGGGTTAAAAAGTCAAGCTCACAGCCGGTTTGTGGCTGCTCTTGTGTCGTGGCGAGGCTTCCCTGGAAAATAAATAAATAAAATGTCTACAAAAGAAAATTGCTGAGGCGATCAGTTCCAGGGATTGTTTCTCTTATTGTTGAGTTTCCTCTTTTTTTTTTTAAAGATTTCCCATTTACAAGCATTTGGTGCTACGAGGGAAGCAGTTAGTCAGAAGCTTCTGTCATCCAGTTTGTGTTGGTTTTTTAAGTCGTCATGAGAACATAAACCAGTTCAACGCTGTGGTCTCCTAACACAAATTGGAACATTTAGGGTTTAATTTGAGTTCAGTAAACAGTCTGCCTCAGGACATCTCGTACAGTGTTGAAGTGTTTTTTTACGGCTGGTTAAGATGACAAATCTGGCAGTAGGCCGCCATTCTGATAGCAGCATGTTGTGGTTAAAAACAAAGCACAGCCCGAGTGAGAATCAGACTGGAGGAGACGTGGATCATCTCCTGCAACAGGATGCTGAAAGTCAACACAGGAAGTCAGGTCACGGTGTGAAGTCCCTAAAACTTTGTCCTGCGCACTGCTTCTGGCGCCACGAGGCCTCTGAAGCACGGACTCAGTCACAACAACCATAAATAGACGAGCAGAAATGAAAATAAAGTAAACTTGCTGCCGTAAACTGATGCTAACGTTTGATATTTTCAGAACTCCATGAATCTTCCTCCAGACAAAGCTCGGCTCCTCCGGCAGTATGACAATGAGAAGAAGTGGGACCTCATCTGCGACCAGGTGAACTCAGAAACAACCGAAGCTGCTCTGTTGTACACACAAACACACACCTGCCTGCACACTCCCTGCATCAGACTCACGTCGCACTGTTTCCTTTGTTGTGTGTCTTCAGGAGAGGTTTCAGGTGAAGAATCCACCTCACACCTACATCCAGAAACTCAGAGGATACTTAGATCCTGGAGTCACCCGAAAGGTCAGACCTCGCAAATGATCTTTTTTATTGCCATCTTAAAAGGAGCTCTACTAGTTATCGCACACTGAGTGAAATCAGATAAGTTAAGTCGGTGATTCTGAAGCTTTTCTTGCTGCGTCCCTCTTTGGAAGGAGAACATACCACACACAAACTGATATTTTCTGTCTCTTATCCTTTACTGTAATCCAAGCAGCAAGATATATCCAGTCTTTGCCTGCTTCAATTGAAAACAGCTTTATTTCTCTCCATCGCTGAGTCCACGCTCACACATGGACTCACTTTGTGATTAAGTGGAGTTTGCACATCATTTACAGCAGAGTATCATCAGTTATCGATCTCTCGGTGGTCCAAGCATTCTTCCCTAATTTAAGGAGATACCTCCTGCAGCCAGTAGACCTTTTACTCCAATAATGGGACAAATAAACTCTAAGTTCATCCTCACGTCTGTCGTGGTCATGTGCCGTCTGAAGAATAAGGAGTGGATCCACTCTCCACGCTGCATGGCACTCCTACTATAATCACAATGAAAGCACGGTTTGTGTATGACAATAAGAAGTGAGTTGCAACAGCATCTAAACGTTTTAATAACCAACAACTGATGGTTAAACTAATGTAGAAAATGGTGCGTTCACCCCCAGGGTTGCACACCACAGTCGAGAACCATTGAATTAACTGAAATAATAGCACACTGAACAAAACTATAAATGCAACACTTTTGTTTTTGCTCCCATTTTTCATGAACTGAACTCAAAGATCTTAAAACTTCTGTGTACACAAAAGGTCTTTTTCTCTCATGTGTTGTTCACAAATGTGTGTAAATCAGTGTTTGTGAGCACTTCTCCTTTCCAAAGATAACCCATCCACCTCACAGGTGTGGCATATCAGGATGCTGATTAAACAACATGATTATTGCACAGGTGTGTCTTAGGCTGACCACAATAAAAGGCCACTCTAAAATGTGCAGTTTCATCACACAGCACAATGCCACAGATGTCACAAGTGTTGAGGGAGCGTGCAAATAGCATGCTGACTGCAGGAATGTCCATGTTCAGAGAATTTGGCTGTACATCCAAACAGCCTCACAACCACAGACCACATATAATTACACCAGCCCCTGTGTTCGTGTTCGCTGTCCATACCATATGCCTGCCCATACCATAACACCACCGCCACCATGGGCCACTTGATTCACAATGCTGACCTCAGTTAACTGCTCATCCACATGATGCCGTGTCTTCCATCTGTCCTGTGCAGTGAAAACTGAACATGAACAGAACACTCCTCCAGCGTGCCACACACCATCGAATGTGAGCATTTGGTCACTCAAGTCAGTTATGGCGATGAACTGCAGTCAGGTGGAGACCCCGATGAGGACAACGAGTGTGCAGATGAGCTTTCCTGAGATATTTCTGACAGTTTGTGCAGAAATTATTTTGTTGTGCAGACTGATTGTGGCAGCAGCTGTCCGGGGGGCTGGCCTCATACGATCTTGCAGGTGAAGATGCTGGATGTGGAGGCCTTGGGTTGGTGTGATTAAATGTGGTCTGCAGTTAGATATACTGCCAAATTCTCTGAAACGCTTTTGGAGGCAGTGTATGGTGGAGAAATGAACATTCAATTCACAGACAACAACTCTGGTGGACATTCCTGCAGTCAGAGTGCCAACTTCACACCCTCAAAACGCAGCATCCGTGGCACAGTCCTGTGTGATAAAACTGCACATGTGTGGCCTTTTATTGTGGTCAGCCTAAGGCACACCTGTGCAATAATCATGCCGTCTATCAGCATCTTGATATGCCACACGTGTGAGATGGATGGATTATTTAGGCAAAGGAGAAGTGCTCACAAACACAGATTTACACACACTTGTGAACAATATTTGAGAGAAAAAGGCCTTTTGTGTTAATAAAAAAAAAGTCTTAGATCTTTGAGTTCAGCTCATGAAAAATGGGAACAAAAAAAGTGTTGCATTTATAGTTTTGTTCAGTGTATTAAATATACTGAAAACACATGCTCTTTGACTGAATTGTTCAGATTTCCTGAACATTTTGAAGTGGGGTCTTGCAGAAAAGTTGGGAACAAGTAACATCTTACCTGTTGATAGACAACTTTTAAAATTGCATCCATATGTAAAAAAAAATAAATAAATAAAAATTGGTTCTGGCCAGATTAACAAGTTAACATCTGCCACCTTAAGAATCTATAATATCAAGAGTATTACAGTGGTTTGTGGGAATGCTACTTTATAAAACTGCACATTATCATTAATTTTTGCATTGTGCAATTATTCAAATATTTGATCAAAATTGTGCTGGAGGTGCCTCAGGCTGCACCGGATCGGATGTGCTACAGCTAGCTGCTAGCTTGCATATCATCATAAGATTCTATGTAAATAACTGTGTAATGCATAAAAACCTGTATCTTATGGTTTCTAAAATATCACTGGCACTAACTGCTATGATTTTTTATTTTATTTGAGCTGTTTTAAGATGGCAGCAATGCACTTTAGCCTTAGCTCAGACTAGCCATTAACTCACCAATCTGGTCAAAAACAAGCTTTGTTTCTCCAAATGAAGGTAATTAAAAAAAAAACCCGATATACAAGTAAGATATTAACTGTTTATGACCCTTCTACAGAACTTTATTTTAAAACACTTAAAGGGAACTATAATCTGCAGTAATGAATCTGGAGCAAACTGCTTTAATATCTGTTTGAACTCTCTGCTTTCATTTGTACTTACAGAAATTTCGCCGGCGTGTGCAGGAATCCACAAAAGTCCTGAGGGAGCTAGAGATATCTCTGAGGACAAACCACATCGGGTAATCAACTCTTATCTTCAGATAAACTGCACAGCTGTATTTACTGGCGTACAAAGCTTGGGGAAACCGCTTTATTGTTTTTCTTTTGAGAAGAATATTCCTTTGTGTGTCGCTGCTGCCGAGCTTGAGTCTCCCCCTCCATCCACCATATTGTTCTAGCTTGCCAAACCCTGCAGCTCTACCTTGCAGGGCTGGTCCTCATAATGCCCAGATGGCAGCCATTGTGTGTGTCCTTGTCCACTCCCCTGTAGTGTAGAGCAGGAAGCTTTGTTGTGTGTTCGCCAGAGGGACAGGAAGCCTGGCTGACCCGTGGAGCGCTGGACACAGAAAACAAGCAAAAACCACAACACAACTTTTCAGACATGATAAAAAATACTTGGGTATTAAAAGGTGATGCAGTGGCAACTTAAACACACACACACACAAAGGCAAAAATCAGTCAAGTTTGATTCACCAAAACGACAAAAACTCAAAAAACAAAAAGGAGAGCTTAATTCTGATGACTATTGTGGGTGGGATTGAGTGTAACAGATGTTGATTTATTCTTCCTGTGTGTGCGTGCATGTGTGTGTGCGTGTGTGTGTGTGTGTGTGTGTGTGTGCTGGTTCGTGTGTTTTTCCTACCATTGCCAAGACAATCTGAAATAACAACTGGTTGGAAAGAAGCAGACGGAGCTAAATGGGGCTCACAGACGAGGAGGGATTGGGAGGCTGGGGCAGGAAACTGATCATCAACCTACCTCTTTGCCCCCCACCCCCCGCCCCTCGCTCCTCACTTCATCTTGCTTTGTTCCCCTCTCTCTCCCTCTGCTGCTTCATTTAGGGTCTTGATTGGTTTCCTGCCTGGCTTATCCATTGGCGGACTCGCAGCCCCTGATCATAACCAGCATTTCAGGCTATTTTAAGAACCTTTTTACCTCAACCCTGCCCCACAGAGTTTCCTGAAGAAGTGGGGAGGACTTGAAGGGGTTCTGCTGGGGGGAGGCGGACCCAATACTGTTCAGTGTCAGGGTTCCGACCTGAGCCCAGCTCATATGCCCCTCACATTCTTTCTCTAGTTGCAGAGGGAATTCCTTTGTTTAGAGTCGTTTCTCTCTGTGGACGACAGAAGTTGAACGGTGATGAAATCTGAAGCCTGGCTTGCTTTAGCTAGGTTTCGCTTTTTGTTTGTTTTCATTGACTTTTCCCCCAAATTCTTTCAGTCAAGGGTGAGGAAAACCTCGTTAAGAAAGACTTTCATGCGTTATTCTGGTTCTGTCTGTGACAGATTATAAAGTCAGGAAGAGACATAAGGGAGTCATTGATGCTGAATGTTCAGAAACACAAAGTCAAGTATAAAATATAAATAACAAATATTCAATGATCCTTTAATTGCAAAAGACAGTTCTATGGTGGGAGGTTCTGCGCACCTCAAATAAATGATGTGTAGTTTTTGGCAACCAAATATTCTGCAGTCATGTGCACTTTGAATGTTTAAGCATTTATAGAAAATGCAGACAACTAAGAGAAAAATCTAAACTCACAATAATGGCTTTCTATGTGAATGTATTTGTTTAGGAGTAGATTTATCTATCTGTGTGTTCCCAGACTGTTTTAGGAATGTAATTGTTAGATTTTAGAATTTAACTTAGCTGTTTTATTTAATTTAATTATCTGTAATTTATTAGATTTATTATGTTCACATTGTGCTTCTTCCTGTTTTTACAGTAATAAAAGTGAGAAATAATTTGATATATATATTTTTTAATGACAGGACCAGATCAGACTCAAAAACATGATTTACTGTTCTGATCTAATATTATATCAGATGTTTTATTCTCATCAAGACAAATTTAATGTTTTTTGTTATTGTAATGTCAGAAGCCCCAAACTAAACCATATTTTTTTTACAACCCTGATTAGCACTTTAGATACAAATGAACATTTCTTTGTAGAGTTTAGGAAGCAATTAGTTTTCTTTCTGCCTATCTTAATTTCTCCCTTAAAGTGTAAAGTGTAGGTTTTAACAGCAGAGCGAGGGTGTGTTTCTGTGTTAGTGACCCCTCTCTGTTCCTGCATGTCACAGGTGGGTCAGGGAGTTCCTCAATGATGAGAACAGAGGTCTGGATGTCTTGGTGGAGTACCTTTCCTTTGCTCAGTGTGCTGTCATGTGAGTACACACCTCTCTTTCTCACACGCACACACACACACATTCACACACACATACACACACACACACACACAGACTTCCTAAAGATCTGGGTTTGGCTGGTAATCTGCTGCTGTAGAGCCTGTAGGAAACTGCCTGTGCATCTAAAATGTGTTCTCGCATTCTTCAAATGTATTTGCAAGATGAATGTGTTTCTGGATCGATGCTACATGATTTATTTGCTGCCTGAATGGGCCAGAATCTCCGTGCTGAGCTTTATGATGCAGTGTCCTGTCAAGTTTTGGTGATAACCCCCTGGCTCTCAAGCAAGCTGCTTTGCTAACCTAACCTCGCTCAGTCCCTCATCTCCCCCTCTGTGCCTCTGTGTTGGCTTCTCTGTCTGTCTATGTGGCCCAGGTTGGATTTTGAGGGCATGGAAAAAGGGGAGGACGGCTTCTTGGACAAGTCAAAATCATGGAGCAGGTCCATTGAAGATCTGCACCATTCGAGCACCCAACCCTTCTGCAACACTCTGGTGCGCTCGGCCCGCCAGTCTGTCCTGCGGTACGTAGCTTCCCCCTGCTGTCAGCTGTCCCTGTTACCAGCTTGCTCTGCTTACCTTGAATGCTATAAACATGTATTAGTATGCACAAAGTCTGGGGCAATTTTGTGTCAGGATTTGGCCTTGATGAAGTTGGGCTGTTCTCTGTGCAAACTCGATCAAACATTAGCTTTGACCTTTCATGCTTTGTTATGATCAGCTTCATCTGTCCAAATGTGTATCCGCACCATCTACAGAACAAATTCAGCTGTGAGCAGCAGATGTTGGGCAGTAACAGAGTCAGGGATGTTAGATGTAAAGTTTGACAAGAATTATTATGTCTGTTTAAAAAAAATTACTTTTTAATGTGGGAATTAATGAAAATGTGAAAAAAATATGAAACACAGTTCAGGCCATTAATAGACTGCATAGGAAAAGTAATCATATGTGCACAGGATGTCTGTTACATAACAGCAGTGTGTATTTGTGTGCACGTGTGTGTGTGTATGCACGTGCACATTTTGGTTTGATGACAGCAGCCAGGAAACCAGGCGTTTCCCATGATGCATCTGCAACCTCAAAAAGTTTTTTTTTCTTTTTCCAATGTTAGTTCTTGTTCTCTGTAATTTTCCCTCTTTCTCATTTTCTTGCGAGACTCACTTTTTGCTCTGCTCGTAAGAAAGTTAGATAAGAAACAGAAAAGAAACGGACTAACTTCTAATATCTGAGCGTTATATGTCTGGGAGGTTTGAACTTCTGCCATCTGTTGCAGCTACGGATCAGTTTCAAGCAGCAAAACCATCAAGAACTCCCGGCTCGTGTGCCAAAAAGATGACGTGCACGTGTGCATCATGTGCCTGAGAGCGATCATGAACTACCAGGTATCAAGTGCTAACACCTACACTTTGATCAGCCCTGCACCATGCACTGTTTGACACAGATAACATGATGTTTCCTGTGGTGAATACACATTTCTTCTGACCACAGCCTGCTCTCTGTCTGTCTCTTCATGCAGTATGGCTTCAATATGGTCATGTCTCATGCACATGCTGTCAATGAAATTGCCCTGAGTCTGAACAATAAAAACTCCAGGTAAGAACTGAGCCTCCCCCTCACACCTTCACAGAAGCAGGACTGGGGTCTAACAATAGGGGAAACCCTGCAGCCGGTTCATATGATATGTTTGCCATTCTTCACGGGGCTCGGCTTCTCTCTGAAGTCGAGGATCAGAGGCGTGTGCGTAGGCTGTGAGAGGAATGTTTACTAAAGAGAGATTAGAGGTAAACCTCACTCTGTAATGAAGGCTGGGAGTACAGACACTTGCAAAGCATACAAAAGTCTACAGGTCGTAACTTTTTATACACTGAATGTTGATATTCGCAGCAATTTTGGAGGATTTTCCGAATAGTTACATGCGTTACTTGTTTGCAGTTGGACTGTGTTTAGCTGTGGTGTAACGACGAGCTTCTCCTGCACTTTCAGGACAAAAGCCTTGGTCCTCGAGCTGCTTGCTGCTGTCTGTCTCGTCCGAGGAGGTCATGAGATCATCCTTTCAGCGTTTGACAACTTCAAGGAGGTGCCTAAAGCAGCTTTTACAGAACTATGATACACTTTTAGGATAAACATTATAGTTTTCCTGTTTTTATTTGTCTGTGTGGTCTAACTACTGCTGCATGCTTTGTGCCATTTTAGCCATTCAAATATCAAAATGTTCAGTTCAATCAGGAGATGGGTGCTATGACTTTTGGATTTAGTAACTTTAATATTTGTCACAATATTTTACTTTATTTACAAATATCCATCCATCCATCATCTTTCGCTTGTTCCGAAGTCGGGTCACGGGGGGAGCGGTTTGAGCAGGGAGGCCCAGACTTCTTTTACACAGCTACCTCTTCCAGCTCTTCTGAGACGACTCCAAGGTATTCCCAGGCCAACCGAGAGACGTAGTCTCTCCAACGTGTCCGGGTTCTCCTCCCAGTTGAACATGCCCGAAGCACCTCCCTAGGGAGGCGCCCCGGGAGCATCCTTAACAGATGCCCAAACCACCTCAACTGGCTCCTTTACTGACAACTTCACTGTACAGCTCAACTTTCTCTTCACCAGAATGGACCGGCACAGAGTCCACAATACTGCAGATGCCTCACCAATTCGTCTGTCAATCTCACACTCCATTTTTCCCTCACTTATGAACAAAAGCCCGAGATACTTGAACTCCTCCACTTGAGGCAGAACCTCACCCTCGTCCCGAAGACAGCAAGCCACCGTTTTCCGACTGAGGACCATGGCCTCAGATTAGGAGATGCTAGTTCTCATCCCAGCCGCTTCACACTCAGCTGCGAACTGCTCCAATGAGAGCTGAACATGGCGGCACACCTCTTTTTTTATTAAATTGCCACAACTTTTGTCCAAAATATGACCAAAAAAGCCCATGTGTCCACATAGAAGAATGAACGTTTGGTTTCATAACTCCTGTGGCTGTAAGCATAACTCTGTGGTGGCCTGCCAGTGGTTATTAGTCTCATTAGGACACCAGATGTGAGTCAACAATGAAGAACGGTGATAAAGATCAGCTTCCCTGTGGGAACCAGCAGACCTCAGAGATTTGCCTTGCTTCTCAATTTCTGACTGCACACTCATCTAAACTGCAGAACAGAACAATTACCTCACAGCTCGAATCCCCAAAGACACGCAGGAGCTAATTAACCCAAAAGTGCAAACATGATTATTCTGCAGTGATTCTTTCATAAACGCTGCTTTAATGCAGGGTGACGGGTCTGTGAATTCTCAACGGAAGTCCAGTGGTTGTATTTAAACAGAGCAGGAGCAATAATTCAGTTCTGGATCCACAACTTCATCAAAACTGGGTCAAATTAAGTGTTTGCTATTACATTTTATCTTTAAGTAAGTTTTATGATATTTTCCAGTTTGTTTTGTGGGAAAAAACACAAACAAGAAGTTAAAACAGGAAATTAAATTATAAGAAAGCAGAAAATTTACATTAAACATAAATGCTTGATGGGACTTAAGTTATTTATCTAACGTTGTTGCAAGAAGTTTTAGTGAAAGAAATAAAATTAACTTGTAATAATCCATTCTCATCACACAATAATCTGAGACTGACATTAAAACAACTTTATAAACCTTAAATTACAGAAATAACATTAACTGCAGTTATAAAGTGTGAATGAAACTGAAAAAAAAAAGTTGAATAAACTGAAACTGTGTTAAAGCTAAAACAAGCAGATTATTAGCTAAAAGCAACAAAACACTGGCTGGGTAAAAGAAGAAACATGTCAGCTAAAATATGATTCTTGGAAAGCATTAGTTGAAAGGTAAATCTTGCAAAACAATAACGTTAAACTAAAAATAGCTAAATGCTAGCTTAAAGCTAAAAATATTAAAACACTAAAAGTAAAAATAACATTGTAATAATAATAATAATAATAAATAAAATAAAAAAAACTAAAATAAACACTAGCTGAAAACACTTAAACACCTTCTAAAACATAGAAGTAGCAAAACAGTAGCTAAAAGTAAAGTAGCACAATAAATACTTTATAGAAAATCTATTAACATTTAGTGTTCTCCATGGTAGAACAGGAAATCCTTTTAAAGTTATTTTTCCAGTTAAATTAACCCACAAATCAACAATGCAATAATTAATATTTTATTCTCCAAGTGGGAGTGGTGGTGCAGAGGTTACAGAAGGTGGGCCTGTGATCAGAAGGTCGCCAGTTCGACTCCCCGGACCGACAACATCAAAATGTGGGTGGGAAAAGTGAACCACCCACACTTGCCCCCACCCTCATTTGCCCCACTCTGGGCCCTTGAGCAAGGCTCTTTACCCTCACCATCTGCTCCCCCAGGCATCCTAGATAGCAGCTCTCTGCTCCACACCGAGGGCTGTGGTAGCTCGGTGGTCTGTGTTGGTGTCAGGGAGGACATCCGTTGTAAAGATAATCGCCAGGTTTTCGTGCGAGTTAATTTACTGTGGCGACGCCTGAAGAAGGGAGCAGCTGAAAGAAGAAGAAGAAAAAACTCTCTGAGTAAATGAATTTGTCTTTGTGTAAACGTGCAACAAAACATAAAAATACCTCAAAAATGGATCCAAGTTGATGCGTTCCTGGTAATCCAGCGTTAGTCAGAATAATTATTGTATTCTGACACAGGACCAGGATGGTAAAATGTGTCACTTAGTCTGCTTTAGTTGTACTTTTGTAAGCATCAACAATAATCTGCTAAAGGTTTCTTCCTCATGAGGGAGTTTTTCCTTTCCACTGTCGCCTTCATGCTCGCTCAAGATGAGAGTCCTGTGATGGAGTTAAAATCATCAACTTATCTGCTCCTCAGATAAAGTCTTAAATTATAATTTTTATATATGAATGTTTCTGTTCAGTGCCCTGAGATGACTTCTGCTGTGACTTGGTGCTGTATAAATAAACTGAGCTTAATTGAATAATCACAAGAAGAGACAGATTATTTCTGCCTTTCTTTTTGTTCCAGGTTTGTAAAGAGAAGCATCGCTTTGAGAGACTGATGGATTACTTCCGCAGTGAGGAGGGAAACATCGACTTCATGGTAGCACGAGCTTTTATTTGCACATATCTTTTTTGTTGTGAGTGTCTGCCTGACAGAAAAGATACACATTGTTGGATCTAATGCTCCATTTCCATGTGCCATTAACATCTGGTTTACATCTGGATCTCTGCACAAGTTAAACAACATTTTACCACCAGGTGTAAATGCAAAGACGTGTGGATTTGATGTGATTACCCAGAGGCAGGTGAAGGATTAAGCCCAGGTTTTAATGAGGTCTCGGTCTGTTTGTTTTCCTGGTCCAGGTCGCCTGCATGCAGTTCATCAACATTGTGGTTCACTCAGTCGAAGACATGAACTTCAGAGTCCATTTGCAGTACGAGTTCACCAAGCTGGGACTTGATGACTATCTGGAGGTGAAGAAAACACAGTTCTGGATAAAGTAGAGACTTTAGGAGATCGGAACGTGTCACTCATTCTGAACTGGTCTTTCTCGAGTCAGAAATGTAAACATACGGAGAGCGACAAGCTGTCGGTGCAGATCCAGGCCTACCTGGATAACGTCTTTGATGTGGGTGGCCTCCTGGAAGATGCAGAGACGAAAAACGCAGCGCTGGAGAAGGTGGAGGAGCTGGAGGAGCACCTGTCCCATGTGAGTGCACCGCCCTGTCTGGACCACCAACGCTGCTCCACTTGTGAGATTGTTGTGGAGCGTTTAACTCCTCTGTTTCTACCATGGCAATTAGAAATCTGCTCCGTTTGCTTTTCACAAGTGGTTAGGGATAATAACTGGGTGGAATGCTGGGAAATACTGAGCGTGAAACAATATTATTATTGTTGTTGCCGGGCCGTTCTTCTTTGTGTCCCACGGTGCTGCGCAAAAGGGCCTCCTTCACATGGAAAGGTCGTAGGCAGCCCCTGACATCACTGGAGGAATTTCATAACAAACTCCGCAGCTCTCAGGGGTCAGGAATGATGAGGGTGGGGGGATCGGCGTGAAGATTCTGGCTGGATTCCTGAGCAACATGTGTAAATGGGGTACAAATCAAAAGTAAAACCTGAGCTTTGTTCCTGCTGCATCATGCTGCTGCCTGGATCTTATTTCCTATCGATTGTACAGTGGAGGCAGAGGGAGGGAGCCGAACTGGGAAAGATGCTTTCGCATCACTCTGCCTCTTCATCCCCAGGTGACAGAGAAGCTGGTGGAGGTTGAGAATGAAACCATGATGAAAGTGGCCGACCTGGAGAAACTGCTCCTCCAGAAAGATAAGGACCTGCAAGCCATACGGGTCAGTAAGGTTTCTCATCTGCCTTGCATGAAAATAGCTTTACTTTCCCTTTTTGTCAGCAAAGATCAGCCTCAAGATGCATGCTGCTAAATCTACGACAGAAAATTAGGTCAAGAGCAAACAGGATGTTTCTCTAAAACTTGTGGAGTCATCACGTTTGTGCTCTCTGCCGCCTCCTGATGACGGCGCAGGAGACGTACGAGTCGACCAACACCCAGGTCCACACCCTGAGGAGGATGATCAAGGAGAAGGATGCTGCGTTCCAGAGGCACTTCACCATCGAGAAGCGGCTCCTGGAGCTGGAGCAGCAGGGCACCATCCGCCTGCACAAGAAACCCGATGGTGACATCACCATCGAGCCTCTGGGGGTCGGCAGCCGGCTCGGGATCCCTCTGGGGAACGTCGGCCAGCTGTCTCTGGGTTCAACAGCTGGGCTGACAGAACTGGGAGGAGCAGACACCAGCTTACCACCAGCAAGTGAAGCTCCTCCGCCTCCTCCTCCGCCGCCGCCTCCTCCTCCTCCTCTTCCGTCTGCTTCAGGTGATGCATTGTGACTCAGAGTATTTCTGATGACTCGTTCATGTGGATGTTGTCTGATTTGATGTTAGACTCACAGCGAGCGGCTGATTTCCGTTCTGATCTTTGCTCCTTTGCGCCAAGTGAGGTGATGGGTGACAGCACTGCTGGTCTAACACAGACAGGAAAAGGAAACAAACAAAAAAAGAACAGTTTCCTTTGTGTGCATCTGTGAACAGAAAGGCTCGTTTAGTTGTTTGTTTTTAATGCTTTACAAAAACTTTATTTACTCAGTTGATTAGGATTTAAACAGTTATTTACATGATAAAAAAAACAGAAATGTTATAAATCAAACCTGTAGTCACCGAACAGGTTATAAAATCCTCTTTTACATGATTCACAGCTGCACCAGTCCCACCACCTCCTCCTCCTCCTCCTCTCGCGCCTCCTCTGCCAGATGCGTCTCCCTCTGTCATCCTGAGCGTGGGTCTGTCAGGTGAGAGTGATCACTCTTCTTCGGCTGTTTTGACGTTTCACTGCATTGTTGAACTTTTGCTGGTACTGTGCCCACAGCAATCAGGATCAAGAAGCCCATTAAGACCAAGTTCCGCTTGCCTGTTTTTAACTGGACGGCGTTGAAGCCCAACCAGATCAACGGCACAGTCTTCAACGAGATCGACGATGAGCGCGTGCTGGAGGTACACTCGTCTGCGCAACACCATTCAAAAATAATTCTGGAAGAAAAACACGGTGGATGAGTGAAGGAAAAGTATAAACTTTGAAAATCCCAGGATCCTCCTTTCCTGAAGGAGAAAATAAGTTCACAGGAAGTTCAGACCAATCATGTACAGTGTTCTTGTGCAGGTTCTGGATCTGGAGAAGTTTGAGGAGCTGTTTAAGACCAGAGCTCAAGGTCCGGTTGTGGAACTTTCCTGCACGAAGGGGAAAGTAGCCCAGAAGGCAGCGAACAAAGTCACACTTCTCGATGCCAATCGCTCCAAGAACCTGGCCATCACACTGAGAAAGGCCAACAAGACCACAGAGGAGATCTGCAGAGCAATAGAGAAGTATGCAGCATGTATGAGTAAAACTTACTGCTGGAGGAGGTTACTGACGTGCACTGTGTTTCCTCAGGTTTGACCTCAAGGCCTTACCTGTGGACTTCGTGGAGTGCCTGATGCGTTTCCTGCCCACCGACGCCGAGGTGAAGGTGCTCCGTCTGTACGAGCGCGAACGGCGTCCTCTGGACCAGCTGGCCGAGGAGGACCGCTTCATGTTGTTCTTCAGCAAGATCGAGAGGCTCACCCAGAGGATGAACATCATCACGTTCGTCGGGAACTTTGCCGACAACGTGAACATGCTGACGCCGCAGCTTAACGCTATCATCGCCGCGTCCGGTTCAGTGAAGTCCTCGCCCAAGCTGAAGAGGATGCTCGAGGTGAGATGTGTGCTGCTTGTATAGAGATCTTGCTTTTTTGTGTTTTATACATTAAAAAAATCATTATTTTGGTTTGCTTTTAGATCATCCTGGCTTTGGGGAACTACATGAACAGCAGCAAACGAGGCTGTGTTTATGGCTTTAAACTGCAAAGTCTTGATCTGGTGAGTAACAACAAAAACATCCAGTGTTTCTTGCTTTGGGAAGATAGTGTCGTTAATTTTTCCTATGAACCCTCAGCTGCTGGACACCAAATCTACAGACAGAAAAATGACTTTGCTTCACTACATCGCTCTCATTGTGAAGGAGAAGTACCCTGAACTGGCCAACTTCTACAACGAACTGCACTTTGTGGACAAAGCTGCAGCAGGTAAGTTTGCACCAGATGTTATTGTTGGCTTTGTTTACTTTTATTTATGTAAGCTATGCATTTGTCTCCTGATTGTGAGCAGTATCTCTGGAAAATGTGCTGCTTGACATTCGAGAGCTGGGCAAAGGGATGGACCTGATCCGGAGGGAGTGCAGCCTGCATGATCACCCAGTGCTGAAAGGTTTCGTCCAGGGTAGTGACTCACAGCTGGACACGCTGCAGAGAGACGCCAAGACAGCAGAGGTGTCCTTATCTCACTGGAGACAACAAAAATATACACACGGAACAAATGCTTGTCCCATTTTCCTCTGACAGTGTTTGTAAACAGTTTTTCCACCTTTTCGATTCCAGGAAGCCTTCAACAGTGTGGTGAGCTACTTTGGAGAGAGCGCCAAGACGACCCCGCCTTCTGTGTTCTTCCCCGTGTTTGTGCGTTTCATCAAGGCCTACAAGGTGAGGACGACAGCCCAACCTCACCTGTCTACTGCGGGGTGACTGGGAGGTTCCCTGCTTTCAGGGGAGAGGAGCAGAATTCAACTTTGGCACAGGACGTGGTGTGTTCAGGTCCAAAGGCAAATAACAGGAAAAGCCAGCTGGGTCTGACTTTAGAGTTGCAGCTGCAGTGTTTAGGCTGCCCCCCACTTCTCTGACGGTCTTCTAGCCTCTAGCTCCGGACAGCCGCGCCCTGACCCGATGCACAACACACTTCCTGAGATTGTTCTCCGACTGGATTTATGGCCTCTGCTCCAGGAAACGTACAACACAAAGATTTCTGGGTGCAGGTGTCGTATGGAGTGTATGAAGTTTGAAGGGATAGTCTGCACAAAACTTACTCAGTTCAGAAAAAGTGGACAATGATGTCTGTGTTTGCGTGTCTGTCACTTGGCAAAATAATTCACAGACTAGAGAGAAAATTTTAATAATCCTCTCTTAAAGTTATCATTGAATGAACCTCTCATTGAAGTCAACTTGATCCATTATGGCTGCCACAACTAACCAACCTTAGAAAACACAAAAAGAGCTATAATTTATTATTTGTTTTCCACATGGTAAAGTAACAGTTGATAGGTGAAAGTCATGCCCAACACATAAATCACTATCTGATTTTGTGAAAACTTTATTTAAAACTTCGGCATACAAGACGACAGGCACTCCTTCAATGAATGCTCCTTTTACCCAGTTTTACTGACACTTATTACCAGATGCACAAATCTTTGGTCAGAGCCGGTTTTCTCTGGCAGGTGATTGGTTTAGCGTGTTAGGAGCACGTTGTAAGACTCCTAACCAGGTGCAGTTGTTGAATGTTGTCACCCACTCATGGCTGCCTGTGTAGGATTGATCCAAATTACTGAGCTCTCGCCACAAACACGTGACCTGAAGTCTGGCAAGATGGGCTCTGTGTTAGGGTCTGGACATTTTTGCTGAGCTGCTGGGAGTTTTTTTAGCGTGGGAAGGGAAGGCAAAATGTCCCCACCACAGCCATTTTTGGCCACATTTTTTTCAAACGTCAAGGTATTTCTTGAAACTGAAGAAAACTAAATACATTTTTATTAAGTGGTTGTGTTTACATGCGTTTCCTGTTTATGTTGAACTTTTGTCTTGTTTTCTGTGTGTTTAAGGAGGCCACGCTGGCCTGTTGACTTGGATTTATTTGAGCTGAAGTTCCTTGTTTACGGACTGTTTGCTTTCTGCTCCTCTCCACAGGATGCAGTGGAGGAGAATGAGCTGAGGAAGAGGCAAGAGGAAGCAATGAGAGAAAAGCTACTGGCTCAGGAGGCTAAACAGCACGACCCAAAGGTACAGTCCAAGCTGAGCGAAACCTCTGGTGTGTTTTCTCTGGGCTAAATAAAACCCTGGTACCGTGCCAAAAAGCACACTGAACAGTGCACGTCTCCTCCCTGCCGGCGCAGGTCCAGGCCCAGAAGAAGAGGCAGCAGCAGCACGAGCTGATCGCAGAGCTACGAAAGCGACAAGCCAAAGACCACCGACCTGTTTACGAGGGCAAAGACGGGACGATTGAGGACATCATCACAGGTGGGCCAGAAAGAACCATTACAGGAGCCCATGTGGGCACCAGCAGCCCCAGTGCTCCCAGGCTACAGATGACTGTGGTCCTTGACTGCTCGGCTCCTTTGAAGTGCACCTTGTGCTATGTGGTGCAAACACCACATCTGGAGCGCGGCACGTAGCGGCACCGCAGCTGCTGCTCGTTCCATGACGTGCCGTCTAGTCTGCTCTGAAGGTTACTGAAGCCGCTGAGCCTCGATTGTTAGAAAACAGTCACGCAAGAAATTTAGGACCTTGTTTCAAAGTAAGGAGTTTGTATTTGACTGTTTTAAATACAATAGACTTTGGTGGTAGATGGGTGGGGTCTTAAGACTTCACAGAAATAAAATTAAGAGCACATTTTGCTATTATTAAGAGATAAAAGTGTAGGGATAAATGGATACAATTATTCTAATTGTATTTATGCTCTTGTTTAATTAGCCTTATAATAATGTTTGCATACTTTGACCAAAGATGGGATCACAAGTCTCTGCTGCTATTTATTCGTAGGTCGGACGTTAAAACGTTTGGAAACCACGGGTTTAGATCAGTGGTAATCAATCTTGGCCCTTGAGGGCCTCAGTGCTGCATGTTTTAGTTGTTTTCTTGTTTCACGTGCATCATATTTACTGGATGAACTACCTCATCGTCATGTCCTCAAGTTTTTCAGAAGCCTGTAAATCACCCGTTCATTCAAATCTGATGGGTTGAAGCAGAGAAACATTGAAGCCATGCAGGATGGTGGCTCGTAAGGGTCAAGATCGGACACCACTGGTTTAGATGAACATGTCAAAATCCTTAATTTGTAGGTTTAGATGTGGTTAATAACATTTGCATCTCCAGCCTCAGCAGAGCCAAAATGCTAACAAATAATTTGTCCTAATCTACCATTAATTATTGTTTAATCGTTGGATTAACTTGATCTTGTGTGTCCAGCAGCACATTCAGACAGCTTGGACACCCTGGACGTCTTTGAGGACATGCTGTGTCCTAATCCCACTAAAAACTTGACTTTTACAAGATTTCCTCCTTATAGAGAGTTTCAGTTTTTTTTTTTCCAGGTTTATCACAGCCTCCTGAAAACGATATAGTCCCCCCCATCCATGAAATGTCAGTGTCTGAGGTGTGACTTGTATTTTCTTACCCTCCTCCTCCCCCAGTACTGAAGAGCGTGCCCTTCACAGCCCGCACTGCTAAACGCGGCTCACGGTTCTTCTGTGAAGCCAACCTCTGCGAAGACGCCAACTGCTAGCCCTCCCGCTCTGTAATGCCAAGGTTGTCCAGGTGTCTCCCGTACCCCCACCCCACCCACTGTGCATGCAGCATGATCCCTGTCACCCACCCTGACTACATCTCTGCCGACTAACCTGGGCCGTCTCTGATTTGTTTTTTGTTCTTGAATCGACAGGAGGCAGCCAAACCTCTTTGCTTGGCCTCGGTGAAAAAGCAGCTGCAGAGAATGTCCACATGTTTGTTCTTTTTTTTTCTTTTGTGTATGAAAGAAAAAAAACAAAAACATGTTGACACACTTGCAGTACAGCCATATTTCCGTGCATGGCACAAACGGCTGTGTTTATTACTTTTAAACGATTCTGACTCAAACAGAAGAGGTTTGGCTAAAGCGCAGTTGTTTTTATGCATCGAGCGTGTCGTTCCATGAAACTAACATGTTTGCCGTTGGTTTTCTGTGACTCTTCTTTCCTAAACCACCACTCTTCTTTTCCAGCTGAAAAGAAGATTAATGACAGTATTTCCCACTCCTAAGAGAGGGTAAGGAAGGTAACCTGGCTGAATAAAAAAAAAAAAAAAAAAAAAAAAACTTGGCTTGCCGGCTCCTGTCTGCTGCTGCAAGTAACTTCAGCTGCTTCAGCTTCAAACCAACAGAAACACAGTTCCACTTCATTAAAAATAGATTTTGCAGATCATTGACATTTCAAGGAGCCAGGTAATGTAGGGAAACATCTTGGCTTGATCAGATTTTCTTTTCCCCAAACGGAAGTTTTAGCTCCCCGAAGATCACCCCCGTCCCTTTCTAAAACGTGTTGCATGTTGTGTGGTGTTCAATGACCTCTCACCTGTCAACAGTGTCCGCCATGTTTGTCTTTGCTAGCCATGTCTGCGGTGTGCTCACGGCTGCTTGGTCAACAGGCTCCAGGAAAACAATATATTAAATTAAAATTTAATTAACGACAGCTTGACGTCTGTCCTGAAGGTCAGTAAACTATCCGGAGAGCTTGTTGACCACTGGACTGTAACTACTTGTGTTTATGTGATTTCAGTGCTGCATCCCCAAAACCTTGACATTTTCTGTTTTTTTAAAACCAGATTAAAAATAAATACAAGGTTATGGGAATGTGTCATTTACTGTGATGTGTTGGACTGTTAAAGTCCTCATTAGTTCATATTTTTGACTAAAACATTGTCAATAAAGACTCAGTAGCCATTTTATTACAACACCTGACTAAAATGTGAGCAGTTCAACTTTAATTCTTGTTCTGTGACGAGAACAACTGCACGGCCATGTTTGACTGCGGAGTGCTCTTAGGATCCGTGGATTGAAGAATTTAATGAGAAGCATTTTATGTGAAAATTAAACGTGTGAATTATGAGTGCAGAAGAACAGTATAATAATGTAATATAATAATTAGGGATGCACGATATTAGATTTTTGGCCGATACTGATACCGATATTTTATGTACTTTCCTTTATCAGAACACAGCCCTCTTATTTAGTCTTATTTGGTACAAATAATGTGTTACAGCTGCAAGAGCTGGTGACATATATTCAGTAACAGCCATATGATATGCATAGCACTTTAACTTATATTAAATGAAACATGTTAAATGTTATTTATTAGCATTAGTCACCTGCAATGCTGTCTCACTTGTGGAGGCTTGTTCCAGGTTCCTAGTTGCAGTGTGGGATCTGCTGCACTCCTGTGAATGAAGGACAGACTTTTTAAGTTCAAAGTTTTTGTCTATCCATTGTGCCATAAGACTAATCATGCTAACAAGGCTAACACGACGTCCAAATGTCTGTGGTAGAGCTCACCCAAGTGCTATCGGCTGTTAGCTTCTCAATGACGTCGGAATTAACAGCTTGTAACTCAGGTAAGGCTACGTTGGAAAAATATCTCTGACTGGGGACGATGTAGCGAGGCTCAACGTAGTCCAACAATTTTCGGAATCTGACATCCTCAACAAACAAAAAAACTTCCACACCACCAACATTTTGAATTTTCCTCTCCGCCGTGAGATCAGGTAGGCACTTGTGACTTCATCACGTTGTGCTGGCGCTGCAGGCATCCTTGTCCCTGGGTTGTCGTACAAAAACAGAGTCTTTTATATCGGTGTTATTTTGATGCAATATTGAACTTTAACACTAATATCGGTCAATACTGATACCATGCCGATAATATTGTGCATCCCTAATAATAATAATAATATAATATAATAACTTTTTGCAGAGTAACTGCAAAAAGAAGCCGATTGCTAGCCAAAAGTAACAAAAGGTTGCTGGAGAGTTAAAGTAGCAAAAAAGCAAGCTAAAAGTAGCAACAATAGAAAACACATGTGAAAAGCACTGAAAAGTAAGCTAAAAGAAGCAAAAGGCTAAGTACTTACAGCAAGATTAACATGATTAGATTAACAAAGACTTAAAAAAAACCCTACTGTTAAGGTGGGATTTGTCAATCTGCATGTATCTTATCTCAGCTTCATAACCTGAACCCCACACGCTCTGCTCTTTGAATTGAGAAAGTCCCTCGAATAAGGAGCGAAACGTCTTCTGTTACAAATAAAGTCCAGTTGTTTTTGACTCGAACGTTTTTGAATTTACTTACAGCAAGGTTAGCTGAAAGCTAAATTAGCCCAAAGCTAGTTGAAAACACCAAAAAGCTAGCTAGAGGTCAAAAGTAGCAAAAGGCTGGCCAAAAGCTAAAAGAGGGAAATGGCTAGTTAGAGGCTCATTGGTAGCTAAAAGCTAAAAGTAGAAAACGTTAGCGTACAGCTAAAAGTAGCAGAAGAACACTAAAGTTGAACATGTTTGCCGAAGCATATTAAAAACATTGTTTTTGAAGGAACTGAAACACTCAGTTAATTAAGAGGTGCAGACAATTAAAAAGCAGTAGTGTGATGAATATGCAGTGAATCACACAGTGGCAGTGCACAGACTTGCATCAGGGGGTGCTGCAGCACCCACCACACCCATGCTTCCCATGGCCTTGAACAATTATTTAAAGCTTTGGAACGCATCACGTGTTCATTCGATTGCATTTACATAAATGAAGCGTACCAAGTAAGAGAAACAGCCCTTGGTGAGGTTTGAGTAATAAAATGGGAACTGAGTTGATGTCGTCAAACACAGAAGGAACTTTTTATGGTTGACATTTTGGTCCTCTAACTTGTGTGTCTCCTCCCGTGTCTCACCCTTCCCTTCCCGGCCTACTCACAGATCTGCGAAACCAGCCCTTCCTGCGAGCTGACGCGTTGATCCGGAGCGGTTGGAAGAGACCCTGAACCACTTATCTGTCACTTACGCTCCCCTCCCTCTTTATAACACTTCCTGCGGTCCTTCTCAACCTGAGGCTGCAGATCACAGCAACCAAAACAAAATAACCCCCTGAAAAGGACTGCAAAGGGAGGACAGGACTTTTGTTTTGGCTGTATAATTTATTTATTTATGGAGACACTCTTTACAGCCCCTGTGAGAAAGCAGGCATCATTCCAGGAGCACGAGACGTTTTTATTTGACTGTCTTTGCTCTGCTGCAGCTGAGAGCCCATTAGTTGAGGACGGCTGCAGGTGCAGGTGAGGCCTGCTGTGGAGGAAATGCATACTTTCACTAATATGAACCTGGCAGCACTTGGATCTTCTATGTGGATAAAAAAAACTGTTTGTTTTCCTGACGGGATCCTGATGTGCGGAGGAAGCAGCCTGGACATGCTGCTGCTCAGTTCTGCAAAACCTCCAAACAACACGCTCTAATCAGACTCTTGAAAACCGTTTAATGAAGTTCCTCCAAATCGTCTTCACACATTCAGTCGAGGTTCATCGCTGAAGGTTATTTGGATTGTTTCTCGGAGGATGGACTTCTGCTTCTCAACACAAGCCAAAATGTCTTAATGTTTTGCTCAAGAAGTGCCTTTTTGTATAAAACAGTGTTATTTCTTAAAGATTGTACTTGTTAATGTGTAAGCCTTATAATACTAACATGCAAGTTGAATTTCAGGTTTTAGAGGGGTGAGAAGAACAGCGCTGTGCAAAAGTCTTAAGCCATTCCTTAAAACTTTATATTTTTCGGATTATAAGGCGCATTAAGCGAAACAAGTTCATTTTGACAGATTTTTGAGCACCGTGTATCACATGAATTCAGTTCAAGGTCAGTAAGCACAAACAGAATTAATACATAAGGCTCACTGTTGATTTTTGAGAAAATTCAAGGATTTTAAGTGCGCCTTATAGTCTGAAAAATATGATACTTTGTCTCCAAGCAAACTTTCTTGTGATCTTTTGAAGTGGTCTTCATCAATAGTTCAGTTTTTTTTTTAATGTTCATCAGGGTTTATTCTTGGAACTTCAGCTGCTTTTTCCACTCGCCTTCTGTCCAGTACCTGCCATAGAACAGCCTAATGTGCAGCGGATGCTTCAGAATTAAAGGAAATGAACAAATAAGGGACAAAGAAGTAGTTGTGCAACAGATTAACAGTATCTGGAAATTGTGCCTTTAAGAAACAGAAAAGAAAACATGAAAGATGACCTGAGATGCAGTTGTTCATCTGTATATGTTTTCAGCTAATATCTGTTTGGGAGGTGCCTTGTTGGTGCTGAAATACTGTTTTATGTGGTAAATAGTGTTTTATTTGATTTTTTTCCTTGTATTTAGCCAAAGAAATGGGAACAAATTCATTGAATGTGGCAGGCAACGAAGAGCCTAAAGATTTATGTTAAGATGAGTAATTCCTTCTTTTGAAATTGGGTCTGGTACTGGACACACTAAAGTCCTTTAGAACTGCTCCAAGACTACTACAAAAACACAAGAAATCCCTGCCTTTAGGAAACAAAATATATATATAAAAAAAAAAAGTCTTTCATACAGCACAGCCGTGCATTTTTGAACTGATATGAGTTTGTTTGTCTCTGGGTCGTATCTGAGCTGTGGTTAAAACTGAATGTTACCGTACGCGCCTTGACAACACTTCCTGTCACACTGCAGGTGACATTTTGAAAGTGACTTTAAAGAAGACTCCAAACACTCTGCTGCTGCTGAAGAGCGCACGAGGTGCTGGAGTTCCCC